CTTTTTCCTGTTACTTTTTCCTGTTATTTACAAACAGGAATGGAAATTAGCTCTAACGACACAGATGCACTTAGAATTTCATTAAATTTTTTGTGTGTATAGGTTTGTGTGCGCGCATGTATATTTTAATCCAAATGCAGAGTTAAATTTTGACAAAATAAAAAAACTCTAAAATTGATTTTAATTATTACTGAATAATTTTCAAAAAAATTCAATACAATCTGACAATTATCTGATATTTTACGGTTTAAAAATATTTTTTTATTCTAGTCTGAAACTTTATGATTTTGTTGCTTAGTTCAGCCCATGGTAGGGGTTGTCCAGACAAAAAAGTGAGGTAATGTATTGCCAGAATGTTTCATTTCAAACTCAGTCAAATTGTGTGTATTCGTGTGCTTGTATATACATTAGATGTCACAAGCACACATGCATGACATAAGAACATGCAAAATCACAGTTGGTGACAAAAAAGCAGTCAAATGTTTTTGTTTTTTTTTTAATAATGTAGATTTAAGTGAATATATGTCACCGTCACTTATTTTGAGCAGACCCCATGACTCGTGCCACAAACCATTCCAATTATTCCACTGGGGAAAAAAAAAAACACCAAGATTTTCACGTCGGTGATTCTTGCATCATTATGCAGCCTCTCCCATCATTTTTCCCCTAATTCACGTTTAGTCATCGTACCCTGGCAAACAGACACGCCCAGCTATGTTCATTAAGAAACCACCCTACTTCACAAATAGCCTTTCCCACTCTGCTGTAAGCTCGACTAACGTCATCACCTACGCTACTCCCTTCACCTGTTGAGTGCTTGTCGGCTCTTAAAACAGCCATTTTATTTTATTTTATTTTTTAATTTCTGATTTTTTTAAAAAATTCTGATAAAAATAATGTACGCGTACAAATAACGAATGACAAGAATAACTCGGTTTATTGAATTAGTTTTGAAAAAAAGGCCATTCAAAAATTGACCTTTGACATGTAACCAATTTACTACGATATTATAGAAAGCAGTTATGCAAGCGACAATGGCCTTCATCATTGTGTCGATATGGCCTGGATCTAGAAAAAAAAATAGACATACAAAAGACGCCTTCCGTAGAGCTATGGTTAGAAGTTTACATTAAGAATATAGTGGGTTCGATCCTCACAAAGAACATCCACTACTGTTACTCAGTTAAAACAAACTACCTCCAGAGGCTATACCTTTTAGTTTCAGATTGACGGACAATGACGATTATTTCTTTTTTAGAGAAAAAATCCACTCTAGACGTCCTTATTCCAACCACCCCTTTTATTAAATATTTGGAAAGTTTCTTCCTCCTACTTCATTTAGGCTGCGATGGATAAGGGACAAGAGAGAAACTTCCTGAATATTTTAAAAAAAAGGGATCTTTGGAATAATCCAAAGTGGATTCTTCTACCAAAAGTAATAAACGCCTTGGACCGTTTATTTGAAAGTCAAACGTACATAAAAATCTGTAGAAGTTTACAAAGAGCTTGCATGATTTGCTCTTATTGTCAGATAGAATTGTCCACTCTTACATACAGGGATTTGGTTACCAGACCCCCCCATCACCACCAGGAAATAGCTAAAGAGAGCAGATATATATATATATATTCTACAACAAAATCCAAAATTACCTCATATGGTGTATAGATTTATTTCAACTAGCGAGAAGTACGTTAGTCTTATTCAACCCCGGTGTATAGACTGTGTTCATGTCAGAATTAGAAATGTAAAATTTAGCTTATTATTAATTTAATTTAATTATTTTTCGACTGCTGTCAAAGTTAATTTTTTAAGTTTTAATTCTGACATGAACACAGTCTATACACCGGGATTGAATGAGACTAACGTACTTCTCGTTGGTTGAAATACGCCCCCCCCCATATGAGGTAATTTTGGATTTTGGTGTTTAATTTATATTCTCTGATATAATAAATACATTGAGCTCTTTTTGTGGATCAGCTTTAATATTACTAGGATCCACTTGGATTATTTATCAACGGATTTATTACCTGTATATATATATATATATATATATATATATATATATATATATATATATATATGGCCTGATGAACGGGTCTAGCATGAAACAGTCTGTCGCCTCTGAGTGAATGTTTACTTTTACACACACACACACACACACACACACACACACACACACACATATATATATATATATATATATATATATATATATATATATATATATATATATATATATATATTTTTAATTTTAATGGATAGTCATATTTGAGTAGATGTTCTGTTTATATATTAAACGGTATTTATTTATTTTCGTGCACCTGCCAGAATATTCGGGAAATTTTATTAAAAATAAATATACGGCATCTTTTTCTCTACTACGATTTCTCGAATATTCTGGTCGGTAGACAAAAATAAATAAACATATACATAACTCCATTAATTCGCTGAAAAAAAGAACATACCATGATGAAAAAAATGCTTTAAACTTGAAAAAAAAAACAAAGTTTTATCGTCAAAATCTTTATGTTATAATTAAGAAGAAAGATCAAAGTATTTTTTGATTATTTAATTAATCTTTTTAAATATTTCTAGGACGTTCGGAATTTTGGTTAAAAATCTTGTTTTTCTTGCGTCAGCGGTGAGTGGATTGGGTGCAAATATAAGTACAGGACATTTTAGTGTCTTTTTTGCGGTAGAAAATAAAAATATACTTTTTTGAAACTTTATTTGAGGAATATTAGCTGATTTAAAGAATATTAATCTGAGTTGAAACAAATATTATTTTTGTAAGATGTTTTTTAATGAAGATCAGAATTACATTCTGATGACAGGTGGCTAAAAATGGCGCTAAAATGAAAATAAAAAATTCAGTAATTTCAAAACGAAAACTCCTTCCAATCAATTTACATTTGTTTTGAAATACACCATAGTATGTTACTTACTGGAAATATTAAATTTAATCTATTAGCTTGAAACTGAAACTAAAATAAATGTTTCAAGAAAAATTTCCGTTAAAATAATATTTAACGTGATAAAATCTACCGGATTTACGAATAAAAAATCCACTACTACTACTACTACTACTCTCTCTCTCTCTCTCTCTCTCTATATATATATATATATATATATATATATATATATATATGTGCGTGTGTGTGTGTATGTGTATGTGTATGTGTCGCATACCATCCCTCATCACCCTCTATGTCAACTTATATAAGCTTAATACTGCCCGTCAAAAATGTAAATTTTAATTCCATTTTTCGTTTCACCTTTTGAAAGTGAAGTCTGAAGATCCAGAGAAAAATAAAATTCTCTGGTGAAATAAATTATTACAATGGAGCCTTAAAGTGGTCTGTTTTTCTATAAATTAAATTATTCGCTCTGACTTAACATTGAGCTCTCAGGATTTCATCCTCCTTGGGATTATCCATACGGATTACCAAGATTTTCGTTACTTAAATATATATATATTGTATGTTCTCCTATACATACATACCTATGATAAAGCTTAATTTATATATTAGAAAAAATAAGAGATTAACAAAATAGAACAATGATAACAATAGTCTGTAATAAAAGTTATTTAACGGATAGAAAATTCGTAGCATAGATCTTAAGAGACACAATAAGAGATTACAGTAAAAGGTAATAATGAAACAGAACAATTATAACAATAGGCTGTAATAAGAGTTATTTAACGGATATATAGGGCAAGCCTGGTCGCCTAGCATAACGTGATTCTTACTCGGCGTTTACGGCTCTGTGAGGCGCCTTCTATTCCTTTGATGTTGTCCGGCTCCTTGTCCGGCTCCTTGTCGGTAAGGACGAACCGACAGGTTACGGATCTGCCACTGTAAGTCTTCGATCATCTTTTCTAATTGTAGCAGAGTTCGGTTTTCGACTGGCTCCATCGAATTTTTGCTGATAGTGGGTTGAGAGATAATTCTGTTAGCTGCGTCAACTTGCTGGTCCAGTGGAGTGAGTCCAGCCATGGGAGCTAGTATTTGTATGATCGTAGTCGAGAGGCGATCTAACCACAAACTTCTTAGAATCAACTCTGACATCTCATGCTTAGTCTGCTCCGCATGAAGCGTAGGAGTTGTGACGGGGTCCGCTCGTCTTAGGTTATGTTATGGAAATGTTCGCGTATCAATTGCTCATCGGTACGATCTGTTCGCTTTAAAATAGCCTCCTTTAGACGAGAATAAAGGTCCTCATCCGGAATTGCCTCCAGTAAGCCGGATATCTTGTCAACTATTACTGAGGGTAAGGTGGGGGCGAGATAACAAACTTTTTGCTTCTGTGCAGTTATTTTTCAAACTTGAAATATGGCTTCTAGTTGAAAGCCGTTGCACACGTTGCTTTCGGTGTTGGCCATATTGCTGGATTTTTTTTTGTCAAATCACGTCGGGGTCACCAATCTATAGGGGAAGCCTGGTCGCCTAGAGAGATTTCTTGTGTATGGCCTTGTGTCAGACCACCAGACCCCCACGTATAAGCGTATTTGACATTCCTTTAGAATATTAATGGTTTACGACAAGGTTAGCAACGGTAGGGAGCGGACAAACGCGGATGAAGTACGAGAGGGCATAACAAAATATAAGTTTATTTTAACAACAAATTGACAGGAATGGAGAAAAAGAAAGAATGCAGTGTTCAGTTCCTGGTTTCTGGTCTAGTGGTCCAGCTAATCTGTGCAACGTGAAGTTGATGTTGATGATCGAACGTTTTTGCGCGCCCAAAATAATAATGGTTGGCGCCAAATGTTCTTGAAGAGGAAGTAGCCAAAAACGTGGAAAAGATTAATTGTAAGAATCTCCTTTTTTTAGAATAAGCGGCAAAAGGGAGGCAACTATGAATGTTTTCTTTTGATAAAAGAAGAAGAATCCAAGGGAGTCTTAGAAACAGAATTAACCCAGGTCGTTTATGAGACTCTGACGCAGGGTCGACCGAGATAGAATCACCGAATTTATAAGTTGCAAGAAATCATTGATCACATAGAATGAAGTATAGACCAAAGGGAAAGATCCAGAAGATACAAATGCCACGTGTTAAGACTCGTAGGTTCCTGACTTACTTGTTGCTTTGGACAGGAGGTGAGGTCTGTTTGATACTGAGGGTTCGCGATGAATGCTTGTTGCTTTGGACAGGAGGTGAGGTCTGTTTGATACTGAGGGTTCACGATGAATGCTTGTTGCTTTGGACAAGAGGTGAGGTCTGTTTGATACTGAGGGTTCGCAAAGAATGCTTGTTGATTTGGACAGGAGGTGAGATCTGTTTGATACTGAGGGTTCGGATGAATGCTTTTGATTTGGACAGGAGGTGAGGGTTTGATACTGAGGGTTCGCGATGAATGCTTGTTGATTTGGACAGGAGGTGAGGTCTGTTTGATACTGAGGGTTCGCGATGAATGCTTGTTGATTTGGACAGGAGGTGAGGTCTGTTTGATACTGAGGGTTCGCGATGAATGCTTGTTGCTTTGGACAGGAGGTGAGGTCTGTTTGATACTGAGGGTTCGCGATGAATGCTTGTTGATTTGGACAGGAGGTGAGGTCTGTTTGATACTGAGGGTTCGCGATGAATGCTTGTTGCTTTGGACAGGAGGTGAGGTCTGTTTGATACTGAGGGTTCGTGACGATTGCTTGTTGCTTTGGACAGGAGGTGAGGTCTGTTTGATACTGAGGGTTCGTGACGATTGCTTGTTGCTTGGGCAGGAGGTGAGGTCTGTTTGATACTGAGAGTTCGTGACGATTGCTTGTTGCTTGGGCAGGTGGTGAGGTCTGTTTGATACCGAGTGTTCGTGACGATTGCTTGTTGCTTTGGGCAGGTGGTGAGGTCTGTTTGATACTGAGGGTTCGTGACGATTGCTTGTTGCTTTGGACAGGAGGTTAGGTCTGTTTGATACTGAGGGTTCGCGATGAATGCTTGTTGCTTTGGACAGGAGGTGAGGTCTGTTTGATACTGAGGGTTCGCGATGAATGCTTGTTGCTTTGGACAGGAGGTGAGGTCTGTTTGATACTGAGGGTTCGCGATGAATGCTTGTTGATTTGGACAGGAGGTGAGGTCTGTTTGATACTGAGGGTTCGCGATGAATGCTTGTTGATTTGGACAGGAGGTGAGGTCTGTTTGATACTGAGGGTTCGCGATGAATACTTGTTGCTTTGGACAGGAGGTTAGGTCTGTTTGATACTGAGGGTTCGCGATGAATGCTTGTTGCTTTGGACAGGAGGTGAGTTCTGTTTGATACTGAGGGTTCGCGATGAATGCTTGTTGCTTTGGACAGGAGGTGAGGTCTGTTTGATACTGAGGGTTCGCGATGAATGCTTGTTGCTTTGGACAGGAGGTGAGGTCTGTTTGATACTGAGGGTTCGCGATGAATGCTTGTTGCTTTGGACAGGAGGTGAGGTCTGTTTGATACTGAGGGTTCGCGATGAATGCTTGTTGCTTTGGACAGGAGGTGAGGTCTGTTTGATACTGAGGGTTCGCGATGAATGCTTGTTGCTTTGAACAGGAGGTTAGGTCTGTTTGATACTGAGGGTTCGCGATGAATGCTTGTTGCTTTGGACAGGAGGTGAGGTCTGTTTGATACTGAGGGTTCGCGATGAATGCTTGTTGCTTTGGACAGGAGGTGAGGTCTGTTTGATACTGAGGGTTTGCGATGAATGCTTGTTGATTTGGACAGGAGGTGAGGTCTGTTTGATACTGAGGGTTCGCGATGAATGCTTGTTGCTTTGGACAGGAGGTGAGGTCTGTTTGATACTGAGGGTTCGCGATGAATGCTTGTTGCTTTGGACAGGAGGTTAGGTCTGTTTGATACTGAGGGTTCTGAATTTGTTGCTTTGGACAGGAGGTTAGGGTCTGTTTGATACTGAGGGTTCGCGATGAATGCTTGTTGCTTTGGACAGGAGGTGAGGTCTGTTTGATACTGAGGGTTCGCGATGAATGCTTGTTGCTTTGGACAGGAGGTGAGGTCTGTTTGATACTGAGGGTTCGCGATGAATGCTTGTTGCTTTGGACAGGAGGTTAGGTCTGTTTGATACTGAGGGTTCGCGATGAATGCTTGTTGCTTTGGACAGGAGGTGAGGTCTGTTTGATACTGAGGGTTCGCGATGAATGCTTGTTGCTTTGGACAGGAGGTGAGGTCTGTTTGATACTGAGGGTTCGCGATGAATGCTTGTTGCTTTGGACAGGAGGTGAGGTCTGTTTGATACTGAGGGTTCGCGATGAATGCTTGTTGATTTGGACAGGAGGTGAGGTCTGTTTGATACTGAGGGTTCGCGATGAATGCTTGTTGCTTTGGACAGGAGGTGAGGTCTGTTTGATACTGAGGGTTCGCGATGAATGCTTGTTGCTTTGGACAGGAGGTGTTCTGTTTGATACTGAGGGTTCGCGATGAATGCTTGTTGATTTGGACAGGAGGTGAGGTCTGTTTGATACTGAGGGTTCGTGATGAATGCTTGTTGCTTTGGACAGGAGGTGAGGTCTGTTTGATACTGAGGGTTCGCGATGAATGCTTGTTGATTTGGACAGGAGGTGAGGTCTGTTTGATACTGAGGGTTCGCGATGAATGCTTGTTGATTTGGACAGGAGGTGAGGTCTGTTTGATACTGAGGGTTCGTGATGAATGCTTGTTGCTTTGGACAGGAGGTTAGGTCTGTTTGATACTGAGGGTTCGCGATGAATGCTTGTTGATTTGGACAGAGGTGAGGTCTGTTTGATACTGACGGTTCGTGACGATTGCTTGTTGCTTTGGACAGGAGGTGAGGTCTGTTTGATACTGAGGGTTCGTTTGATGAATGCTTGTTGCTTTGGACAGGAGGTGAGGTCTGTTTGATACTGAGGGTTCGCGATGAATGCTTGTTGCTTTGGACAGGAGGTGAGGTCTGTTTGATACTGAGGGTTCGTGATGAATGCTTGTTGCTTTGGACAGGAGGTGAGGTCTGTTTGATACTGAGGGTTCGTGATGAATGCTTGTTGCTTTGGACAGGAGGTTAGGTCTGTTTGATACTGAGGGTTCGCGATGAATGCTTGTTGATTTGGACAGGAGGTGAGGTCTGTTTGATACTGAGGGTTCGCGATGAATGCTTGTTGCTTTGGACAGGAGGTGAGGTCTGTTTGATACTGAGGGTTCGTGACGATTGCTTGTTGCTTTGGACAGGAGGTGAGGTCTGTTTGATACTGAGGGTTCGTGACGATTGCTTGTTGCTTTGGACAGGAGGTGAGGTCTGTTTGATACTGAGGGTTCGTGACGATTGCTTGTTGCTTTGGACAGGAGGTGAGGTCTGTTTGATACTGAGGGTTAGTGACGATTGCTTGTTGCTTTGGACAGGAGGTGAGGTCTGTTTGATATTGAGTGCTCGTGACGATTGCTTGTTGCTTTGGGCAGGAGATGAGGTCTGTTTGATACTGAGGATTCGTGACGATTGCTTGTTGGTGTGGACAGGAGGTGAGGTCTGTTTGATATTGAGTGCTCGTGACGATTGCTTGTTGCTTTGGACAGGAGGTGAGGTCTGTTTGATACTGAGGGTTCGTGACGATTGCTTGTTGCTTTGGACAGGAGGTGAGGTCTGTTTGATATTGAGTGCTCGTGACGATTGCTTGTTGTTTTGGGCAGGAGATGAGGTCTGTTTGATACTGAGGATTCGTGACGATTGCTTGTTGGTGTGGACAGGAGGTGAGGTCTGTTTGATATTGAGTGCTCGTGACGATTGCTTGTTGCTTTGGACAGGAGGTGAGGTCTGTTTGATACTGAAGGTTCGTGACGATTGCTTGTTGCTTTGGACAGGAGATGAGGTCTGTTTGATTTGAGGGTTCGTGACGATTGCTTGTTGCTTTGGGCAGGAGATGAGGTCTGTTTGATACTTGGGTTCGTGACGATTGCTTGTTGGACAGGAGGTGAGGTCTGTTTGATACTGAGGGTTCGTGACGATTGCTTGTTGCTTTGGGCAGGAGATGAGTTCTGTTTGATACTGAGGGTTCGTGACGATTGCTTGTTGGTGTGGACAGGAGGTGAGGTCTGTTTGATATTGAGGGTTCGCGATGAATGCTTGTTGCTTTGGACAGGAGGTGAGGTCTGTTTGATACTGAGGGTTCGTGACGATTGCTTGTTGCTTTGGACAGCAGTTGAGGTCGAAAAGTTGGGCTAAGATCGAGTCAAGGATGGTGAATGGTCGCTTCAAGCAAAGAAATCGACTATACAAGATCTATTACCGTAGTGTAGGTGTTTGAAGAGTATGGCGAAGAGGGAGAGACGGAAAACGCGTCTTCCCGACTCGATGCCCGCAGGTCGACTCTTGCACGTGGATACTTTTTCGCGGGGGGGATCCTTAAAGTTACGTGACCTTTGGCGGCAAATGCCAACCATCAGACCACATTGAATGGATGTTCATTCCAAAACGGTCACGTGCCTCAACGTTGAATGTGTTGGCTCATTGCTCAAAGGGCAGCAACGACGATGAAGGAAAGAGAAAGCGAGAAAAGTTTCGAGGCAACCGTTGACAGAAGGAGGGGTTCTGTCGATAGATAGAAGATTCGTACTGTAGATCTTATGAGGGACAATAAAAGATTACAATAAAAAGGTAATAATAAAATAGAACAATTATAGCAATACGTTAACAATGCGTTAATAACATTTATATGACAGAAGATTCATACTGCCCCATATATTTGCAACTCAAAGGTAGCTTAAAGTCTTCTTCACAAACATGAATTAATTTGATTGGTTGGAAAATAACGAATATCGGTAATTAGTTCATTTGAACATGGATTCTAAATCAAGGGAGATAATTAGTCGTAGTTATTATTAATCTGGACATTTCAGTTTCTTTTTTCATTATTAAGTGGAGAATTTTCACGTTTTTATTTAACAGAAGCATTTTATTTATTTTTTTAATTCAAATTGTTAATAGCATTACTCTTACACTTTGAGACCATCATAAAATAGAATCTATGAATTGTTTTTTTTCTGGGTTTGTCCACAGATAACTGAAATCATGGAATAAGAGGGAGTCATGACATTTGATAATTTGTTATTTGTTTATAATAAGAAAAATAAATTTTCGAACTAAACTGTTCCCCATTAATCATCTGAGAGTCTCCTCTCTACTTTCCATCAGCATGGCTGATGCTATCCTCCACAAAGGTGATTCGTTGTGTCTTCTCGGGCTAACGTTATCAGCTGATATGAACTAGAAAGACTATATGGAATCCATTTTTAGGTCAGCTGCTAAGAAAATTGATTTACTATATAGGACGAGACAGTTTTTCTCTCCAGAATCTATCAAGATGGCTTGTTAATTTTAACGTCTCTAAAACTAAACTTCTCTCCATAAATCATCTTAGAGACTCCTTTCTACCTTCCGAGAGAATGGATGATGCTTTTCTTCAGAGATGAGACTCATTGCATCTTCTTGGGCTAAAATACAGAGTTGACATTAGATAGAAAGACTATATTGAATCCATTGCTAGGCCAGTTGCTAAGTCAGTTCTTTGTGTCGTGCAAGACAATTTTTCTCTCCGGAATCTATCTTACTTATCTATAAGTCTACCATTTATCCGTACTTAGAATATTGCTGCCTCATATAGTTCAGTGCTCCTGCTATTTACCTTCAGCTATTTGATAAGCTTCAAAAAGGAATCAGCAATATTATCGGTCCTATTCCGGCAGCTCGGCTTCAGTCACTTACCCACTGCTATAAGTTTGCTTCTCTGTGTCTTTTCTATAAATATTTTCATGGTAATTGTTAGGATTAACTCTTCGCTATGGTAACTGGACTTTATGAATTTAAGCGCATTACTAGACTGGCAATGAGGTCTCATCAGTTTTTAGCAGAGTTGGCTAGATGTAACCGTAAATTCTATGCTAATATTTTCTTTTTCTGCACTTCTTTCATGTGGAACTCTCTTCGGTACATGCTTTCCAGCCAATTTTAATCGGCAAAAACTTAAATGCAATGTCAATCGTTTCTACATCTGTCTATATTTCTGAGATGAGGTATTGTAACTATTTACACTATTTCCATTGTTCGGACTGTTGTCCTCATCTTTATTGTCATATTCACGACATTTCGGCCGATGTACGCTCCAGCTTTCTTCAGCATCTGTCTATAGTTCTGAGCTGAGGTATTGTAACTATTTATCCTATTTACATTGTTCGGACTGTTTATTTTGTTGTCATATTTTCCCATGGACACATAGTCCACTGGATAAAAACGTTGGTTGAAGAAATCCATTGACTTGACCCAAGGAGTTGTAAGTTCAATACCTGGTCACAGAGCTGAACAAAAACTTGGAGAAATAAGTTACTAAAGAGAATTAATTAAAATGGACATATCCAGAAAAGCATGGCACGGTGGAACTAGAACAGTCTACTCCAGTGGACTAAATAAAGGGTTCAGTTCGGAATTCCATCATATATCACCTGAAGAGGACCGGAGCGTACAACGGCCGAAACGTTGTGAATAGGACAATAAACATGAGGACAACAGTCAACGAACAATGTAAATAGTGCAAATAATAATGTCTCTGTTTCTAATTCAGTGATCCCTAGTGTCTTAGTGGCTTTACTACCCTGCCTGGGGTAAATTGAATTTAGAAAAAAAAAGCCTACAAATTGGAAAAACTCATCTACAATGAAAAAAAAAACACACACACACACACACATGAAGCAACTGAGATGTTCTGACGAATGTTAAGAATACCATGGACAGAGCATGTGTCAGACAAGGAAGTTTTAAGAAGAAACTATTAATAACACTAACAAGGTAGAGTTAAGCTATTATTATATTTCAAATAAATCTGAAATTTAATTTCAAAGAAAGCATTTAAATTATTTAAAATGGGTTTTATTTTTATTTTTTTTATTTTTTTAGAATGTCCGTGGCGGTATCTGCAATATACTGTAATAAAAGTTACGTGACGTATAGATGTTTATTTGTTATCGCAGATTTTTTCTTGTAAACAATCAGAAAGGCATGAATCCAACGCTCCCTGTGTTCCGTCAGATCGCCATTTATCTTTTTTGTATTATTGTCACTTACATGAAACGATGTGTGGGTCATTAAGTAAATAGGCAATCCATTTTCTCCAAATTGCTTTATTTACCTGTCAGTTTTGACAGGTGTAATCACGTGACGCAGACGCGCGTGCGCGCATACATATATGACGCGACAGTGTAGAAAAATACAATATAGACGGCGGTTAAGAGTAAGATGATGGAAGTGTTGTAAAAGAGAAAGGTGTGACGAAGAAGACAAAGATATTTGATTTCACAAACAAAGTAAAACGGAGACACGGTTTGTGGCTTTAATTTTTATTTTTGTGTCGCGGGAAGTATGACAAAAGCGACTCATGGGGGAGGGAGGGGAGAGAAACTCATACGGAGAGAGAGAGAGAGAGGGGGGCTCATACGTAGAGAGAGTGACATACAGATAGAGAAAGAGGCGCTCTTACGGAGATAGAGGCTCATACAAAGAGAAGCTCTTACGGAAAGAGTGGTTCATACGGAGAGAGAGAGAGAGAGAGAGAGATTCATGTGGAGAGAGAGAGATTCATGTGGAGAGAGAGAGAGAGAGGCTCATACGTAGAGAGAGTGACATACTGATAGAGCGAGAGGGGCTCTTATGGAGAGAGAAGCTCATGCAAAAAGAGAGAGGTTCTTACGGAAAGAGAGGCTCATACGGAGAGAGAGAGAGAGAGAGAGAGAGAGAGAGTGAAATAGAGAGAAAGAGAGAGAGTAAGACAGAGAAAGAGACAGAGAGAGAGAAAGAGAGAGAGAGAGAGAAAGAGAGGCTCGCTTCGACTTCACTTGCTGTGTGATTGCACGTTGAACGAGTCTCTGAACCGCAGAGTTTGACAAGAACAGAAAACACACACTTATTATTCGCTGATGTATCTGCACAGAGAGAGAGAGAGAGAGAGAGAGAGAGAGAGAGAGAGGGGGGGAGAGGTGTGCAAAAAGAAAAAGGAGTGCTGAAAAGTTCGTGGCCCGACTTAATTCCCGAAATCTGACACATGACCAATCATCAGACTTTCATTTGGGACAACCTTCTTGTTTAGCATCAGCTCTTTTCACTATCCTAATCGCATATAGAAGCGATCAAATAAAAAAACAATAAATAATAAAATTGTGAAATAAAACCAACATATTTCTTAAGGGCTACAAAAAATTCTTAGCATAAAGTTGCAAGAAATGTATTTCATCACTTCCTGCATTTTCTTATATAAATAAACTATTGGACGTTCCGTTTTACATACAAACTTATTCTTATATTCTTGTCTCAGCACATTCACCATTCAATTTTTAACTGAAGTCCATTTATCTGCTCTCTACGCACTTATATGCAACCTACACCTTAGGTAGTTATTTTTAACTAGTTTATTGTTGCTTATCGCATCGACTTCTCCATAACTATTTTGATGAAGAATCAATGAAGAGTTTAAATGCCGCCTGAATATATATATATATATATATATATATATATATATATATATATATATATATGATAAATGCGAATATCAGTGTGTGATACTTTTTCACCTTTACTCCTGGAAGTGGTACCATTTTGGAATCAAGCCGACTTCGTGAGCAATAAATACTTTATGAAAGTATTTATTTATTTGTATATATATTTGATATTTCAGATTGGCCTCAATCTTTCTTCAGATTTCGCTTCAACAGTCATAAACAAACCATACGTCAAAACAACCCTTATTCCCCCATAGCTGAACACTTTAATCAATCAGGACACTCATTAGAAAATCGTAAATGTTTATTGATAGATTCTGATTTCAGTTCCACATACACACGCAGAAAAAAAGAAAAATACTGGATTTTAAAATTAAATACATATAAACTTGGGTTAAATAAAGATTTGGGTATTTTAAATCTTTATAAATATTTCAATAGTTAAACATTTTTTAGATATAGTTAAATTTTTTTTTATTTTCTTATACTATTTTTTTAATTTTTTTTAACAACATCTAAGATATTATTACAGTTAGACTGATATTTATTCGTACAAAAAGTACAAATTGTAGCACAAGGCCAATAAAGGGGAGGGGTAGAGGCTGGTCAACACTATCTTATACCTAGCTAATCAGATTCGCGACCCATTCGTACATTACATTTTACCCATTCACCAAAAGAACTCGTCCATCACCAAACAATCCTTCAACCACCATAATACCACGTGCTCTCAAGGGAGACCTACCAAAATCGCGCCCCATGCCATAAAAAATTTAATGATGATATATATATACAATTCTAATAATGATAAAATGAGAGGGGAGGGAAATGAACCCAATAATAAACTTAAAATAAACACAAATACAAACTAAACATAATTGATGTTAGTAGGGACCGTCCAACCCATAAAACAGAGAGGCCGCTGTATTCTGCCCAGGGAACAAAATCAAGAGACGCTCTCGCTAAGGGAGTGGGAAAAAGTATAAAATATTAGGCTGGAATGGGAAAATATAAAACTGGCCCAGTCGAGATGAAAGGGGGGGGTCAAAACAAACTGGGAGGTTGGGAATCTCGACTTGGATCATAACCAAAGAACGGTCGGGATGCAGGCCGGGAACAACACTTACTCACATTAACTAGGTACACTGAAGCTTGTCTAACCTAACCAAGAGGAGGGTTCCACAGGAAGCCACCCCGATGTGCAATAGGTTGACCCTAGAAGAGAAAATCAAGGCTAGCCCCCGTTCACACGAAGCAAGCTCGCTTCTTTTGCCCACCTTTCGCTAAAGACTGTCGATGCAATCGTTTTCTATCCGATCTAATCTTCATCTTGAGCTGATGCTCAAAGAATCGAATTAGATCCGAATGAGAAAGACGATTGCCTCGCAAGACTTCCTCCTTTCGCGTCGTCCAAATCACCATTCGAGCCGTGGCCATCAGCGTCAGAAACACCATACGTTTCATCCCGGAATACGGGGAGACACATTGTCACACGCGTATGCGCGATCAATGGACACAAGCTGTTCGGGGCGCGAGACGAGCCGTCAGCTCGCCGACATGGTCCCATAAGGGGCGGACCTGGGGGCAATGGTAGAAGGCGTGCGCAGCCGTTTCTTCTAAGCCAAGGACACACCGTTCACACTCTGGCAAATCCGCCAAGCCCCATATGAAAGCCTTGTCGTTGAGAGGCAGCCGATTCCGAGCCAATCGCCAGCTAAGCGAAAACTCAGGCTTACTGAGGTAAACCGCCGCTGGCGCCCAAGACCAGTAGGAGCGATACTCCTCCTCCGACAAGCCGAGCATATGTCGTAGGGGATCCTTCGCGGGCCTCTCCACTAATTCACGATAGAAGACCTTCCCTAGGCCGAGAAAGTTTACTGGACCGGGAACGGCCCTCAAGGCCGACCGACACTCGCGAAGGAAAACCGATTGATCCTGGGGTTTACGACCGCGCTCAACCTGCGAGATGGGGGACTGATGGTAAGGCCAGGAGCGCGTCCTTAACAATCCCCCCCAGAATCGAATCTCCTCCAGTCAATGCGCGGCGTAGGGAAAATCTAGAGGCACGGATGAGACTCGGCAGGTGCGGCATTCCCAGCCCCCACCATGACACGGACGTTTAATGCAGACTCGTCTGTCGACTCGATTCCCGCTTTCCCTCCATAAAATGAAGGATAGCGATCGCTCGAACGCCTTCTTGTGGGTCTTACAGAGAGGAAGTACGGACAATCGATAAAGACACCTCCGCCCTGCCCTTCACGGACAACCTCCGTCGATTCCAAGTCTGAATCCCTTGGAATCGACCTTCAGACCAATTCCCAAACTGGAGGTCAGGCCCACACTCCAAGAATGCGGACAGGACCGTCTGTCCAACCAGAAGCGGCCCGGAAGAGCGACCCCTTCCAGGCACCTAACCGCAAGCCGGACGACTTGTCGCGGTTTATTTTGGCCCCTGTCACCTTCTCGTACCGATCAAGCGCCTTCTGTACCGCCTCAATGTCGCTGCGGGGCGACACGGAAGCAGATACGTCATCGGCGTACGCGGAAACCCTGGCTCGAGACCCTCCAGGAAAGGCAATTCCACGTAGGGCCGGACTGCCGGTCTCGTCCTTCAGCCGGCGAAGGAGAGGATCCAACTCCAAAGCATAAAGGCGAGGCGACAGCAGTCAACCCTGACGAATCGATCTAGACAGCACGAACGCGTCCGACAACCTTCCGTTCACCTGTACCACCGCACTGGGGGAGCGATACAAGAGGCTAATCCAACGGCAGAAGTTGGGTGCGAATCCAGCGGCCTGCAGGACAGCAGCAAGGTAGCGATGGTCGACCCTATCAAATGCCTTGGACTGATCCAAATTGATCAGCGCGGCTTCTTCGTCTTCTTTTACACTCTCTATGATCGTGCGGATCATATGCAAGTTGCTCTGAATTGTTCGGCCCCTCAGGTCCCAACAGAGACTCGGCAACTGACTGCAAACGCTCCTGCAGGATCTTGGCCATAATCTTTAACTCTGTGTTTAGCAGAGTTATGGGCCTGTAATCATCTAGGTTCCCCCCACCATATTTGCCCTTTTTCAACAGAGTGATCACACGCCTGGTGATCCGGTTGGGGATGGACCCCGACCGAAACCAGTTGTTGAACACTGCAGTCAAAATTGGAACAAAGATATGCGACAGCCTCAAGTACAATTCATAAGGCAAACCATCCAGACCGGGCGACTTGCCTCTGCCGACCTTCTTCAAAACCGCGTAGACTTCGCCCTCTGTAATCTCTCCCTCGCAGCTAGACGCTTCAGTCGGCGAAAGCCGAGGAAAGTCATCCAAATAGCTACGAACTCCTCCTCACGGAGACCAGGCTCCTTGATAAACCGGTTCTCGAAATGGCGCCGAAACGCTCCGCACATGTCGTCAGTGGCCCGAAGAGTACGCCAATCGCCACCTCGACGGACCTTTCCTGCGCAGATCTGCGCCCAAGTTCATGGCTTCGGAAGACATCTTGCTTAACTTATGTCTAATTACCTGACCCATGTACCGCTCGCTATTCGATCGATCCAGGGCCTCCTTAGCCCGGGAATAACTAGCTTTAAGCGTCTTCACCTTTTCAGCTCTATCTAGAGCGAGCCGTTTGCTGAAATCAGTGGTGAAGGACCTAATCCTACATTTAAGGCGTTCCCACCATCTATTCCCGATAACCGCCCCCACTAGCTCCCGCTGCACTAGTCTAATTATCTGCTCCTGGAAGTCCCGCCTGTCCAGTAAAGACAGATTGAACTTCCAGTACCCAGCCATTCTAGGCCTATTGTCTAACGCTACCCGTGCACAAACGAGTTTGTGATCCGAATAGTCTACCCAGTGGAACGTAGGGCAATCTAGTAGTTCTATGTCGGCTCTTCTCACTAACATTTTGTCAAGGTAGCTAACCACCTTGTCAAAAGGCCAATTAAGAGCCCACGACTACATTTTTTCCTCGGGATGATCGACCCGGTATCTATCGACGAGACCATAATCGTCGATCAGATCGACCAGGCTGCGATCGCCCCCTCTCCCGCTAGCACCCCGCCCACTGTCTAACTTGGGGTCCAGGATGGCATTCCAGTCCCCCATTAAAACTAGGCGCGTTGAATCCACCGGGAACGGCCCCAACTGCCGAAAGAACGAGACCCGCTCCCCCTGGTCATTGGGCGCATAAACCGCAACGACCCGGAACGAACCACTTTTCAAGGCAATATCGGCCACGATCAACCGACCCTCTGCATCGGTATGCACAAGGTCCACCTTCGCATCGAGAGTACGTCTGACAAGCAAAGAAACACCTCTGGCAGACCGGTCCCCATATACTGAATAAACGACAAAGTTATCCTCCAGCACACACGCATCGGAACTGCAAACAAAGTGGGTCTCTTCGATCGCGGCGACATCCACATCAAAGGACAACAGGTCCCGGAGCAGGCGGTCAGCCTTACCCTGATCCCTCAAGCCATTCACATTCAGTGTAGCTAACTTA